GGGCGATGGCACCACGCTCAATGGGAAGGAACCATTCGGGCATAGGGAGGAATTGGGCTACATACGCCAAACAGGGGTAGACCCGCGTGCGGTACAATATACAATTCGTACAGACTGACGCAACCCCACGTCCCAACATCCGAGAGCGAGATCGTGCCTTCATAAGCGGGCCCCTCCAGTTCATGTCGACCGTCGCATCTGGGCCCAAGATCATCCCAAGATAAAGCAACCACCCCTCAACGGCAAAGCCTGACCAGTCACTCGCGATAGAAGCCAGCTGGGTCTGGGTCATGGTTTTCAGGGTTTCTGTCATGCGGCCGACGAGAGGGACCAGGGTGCACTTGCTGATCTTAATCTTGAGGCCCGCAATCTTTTCCATGACACCGAGGACCCGCACCAGGATGCGCAGAGAGGCTAGCTCATACAGGACAGCGCCTAGATCATCGGCACAGGCACGGCATATCCCCAACTGACGTTGCTCAATACTCCGCTCGAGGTCGGCCAACATGGGGGAGGAGGCGAGAGCGTACAAAGACCCCGAGAGACCACAGCCTTGGATGATGCCCGAGCGGATCCAGAAGATGGTCGAGTAGCATCCCCCATCCAGGACCACACCTTCAACAGCCAAATACATCCAGCCCACAAAAGCGAGAATCTCGGCGGGGAGCCCAAGAGAGCCCAATAGCTGTAGCAGGAAGGACTGCGACAAGCTCGGGAAGGCCTGCCCGTAGTCGAACCCGACGAGGACAGGGTAACGACGCACAGCTAGGGGATGTTGCGATGCAAGCCGTGCATGGACATCCAGCTCAAGCACGTTGTAGCAAAAAATTCGTCCTCTAATGAAGCCTCTCTGGGAAGCAGGTGCAACGGCTTGGACGACAGGCTCGAGGACCCTGTTCATGACCGAGCTCAGGATCTTAACGTCGGTGTTACGCAGCCCCAGGACCCGTATCTTATCGGGAGACCGAGAACAAACCCCAGACGGCAGATCTGAGTCATCAGCACCTTTGGGGAGGAACGCCTGGAGGGTGACGCTGGCAGAGGCAAACAACGACTGACCTTGGCATAGCCATCCGAACATTCTGGCCAGGTGCTGGGCGCCGTAGTCGCACGCCGACCAGGCCGCATAAGGCAGCCCGTCGACACCAGGAGCAGAGTGACGAGCACGCCTGAGAACCTTACGAAACATTGGGGTCAGAGGACAGTGCAGGTCGATGTCAGAGGCCTTGGTGAGGAACCTATCGAGGTACATCTGGGTCATGACAGGGTGGGGCTCTTTCTTGGAGAAGACAGGGGTCCAGTAGGCCGCCAGGGCCGCAGTGCGTTCCCGAACCTCTGAGATGGGGCCCTCAGGAGTATTGACCGCGGACAGTATCAGGCGCTTCGAAAACGGGGCCCATATGGAGGCCTTCCTTTCCATAGCTCGCAAGAGCGTGGCCGAATGAGGCCGCCAGGCAGATGAGGAGCCTGAAGGAGCACGATCAGCAGCAGCAGCAGCAAGCTCTTTTTCGAAGACCAGCCGATGTACTCCAGCGGCCCACTGCTCGAAGGACGGGGCGTGGCGCAGCGAGACGACCTGGCCGTCGACCATCAGGGCGTCGGCGGCGTGCTGGGAGGTCTCGATGAGCTTGAGGGCAAGGGCAGCGTCTTGACGCCATACCGCTCGTGCTATCCCACGAGCAACCAGCTGAAGCGTCCCAGGCAGGTCAGGGGCCGAGAAGAAGAGGATGTCGCGGGCCTCCCTGGCGGCCTCCTTCATCATGTACTTGTAGTGCTCTGTAGCCACCGGTGGGCTCCATCGGAGCAGATCCTCATCACCATCAGCAACCATTCCTCGGAGTCGGCGCTGGAAAGCAACAGAGGTGAAGATGTGCTTGGGGATGGGTCGCTCAGCAGCGGGACGCACACCCCGAAGACGCAGCCGAATCGAGAGAGCAGCATGATCCGAGATGCCCATGGAGCACAGGTGCTCAGGCGTGTCCACGGTGTTAACCTCAGTCATGAGCTGACACATCATCCAGCCTGTGGCAGAACAGAAGAAGCGGTCGATGATGTTGATGGAATTGGTGAACTTGCAGAAATGGGTCGCCGCTTCGGAGTTAATCTCCATCATCTTGCCAAGTGTAGCCGCCCAGATTGGAGCATGTACTTTATGATCATGAGTCAACTGGCGCTGTACTCCAGTAGGTCGGTGAAAGATGAGAGAAGAATCGTAACTGTAGTTGAGATCCCCCAAGACAACCACAAAGTACGAGAGTGGGTCATCAGCAGCGCGACGAAGAGCACAATCGATCTGCTCACAGACAGATTGTACCTCCCCCTTGGTCAAGCCGTGATTGTGAACGTTGAAGATCACCAGCTGTGTCTGCCCAAGTGCTACATCAACACGAAGCACCCTGCCTCTGATCAGAGGCACCGCACAGCTACTGACCGAAGTGGATGAGAAAGGAGGAAGAATGACTGCAACTCCCCCAGAGCCGCGGACAACCTCGCCGTCGTCATCTTCACAAAAGCTACTGTGGACAATGGCCGTGGAGGAAAGCCTGGCCACAAAGTCGTTCAGCTCAAATCGATCTGCATGCACTTCTTGAAGAGCCAAGATGGATCGCCCAGGTTGAAGTTTGCTTAGGTAAGATAGCTTAGGCGAGGCTTTCGCCCCACCAAATTGGAGAAGAGCGCGTGCATTCCAAGTCATAAATGTGAGGCTGGCTGTGATCTCTCCGCCGACCTGCCCCACTGGAAGCACAAACATATCAGTGATGGCGTCAAAGACACCACTGGGTGGCCGACGGCGCGGCGGTGATGTTCCGAAGGGCCTCCTGGAGGTCACGACGGTCCAGGCCGAGGGCGCGGATCCCCACGTCGTTCCAAGAGAGCTCAGGGGGTTCATCTCCTGGCCGGGGGACAAGCCGCAGGATGTCGGTGTAGTCAGACTTGAGAACACTCCGCTCCCGATCAACAAACCACTTTCTCTGACTGTCGAGCTCCATGAGGGAAGAACGGACCTTACGAAGGAGCATCTCACCACGAACCTGTTTCGGCGACTTGTCAGGACCAAAGTGAAGACGGGCTGGGTCCGCACCTTGAGCAGGGCACTGGAAGACCCGCCATGCTCCGTCCGACTTGAGGTTAGCGAGGGCCTTTTGCACACGTCGGGAGGCCAGGCCGATCGGCCCAGAGAAGCACACGGCAAACTTTTTGGCGGAGGAGGAGGAGGAGGAGGAGGAGGAGGAGGGAGGGGGAGGGGAGGAGGAGGAGGAGGAAGAGTAGGAGGAGGAGGAGGAGTAGGAGGAGGAGGAGGAGGAGGAGGAGGAGGAGGAGGAGGGGCACCGTCAGGGGGGACCCGCTCATGGGGGAAATCCGCCGACCCCGTCGGCGTGTGGAAGACGCATCCCGGTGTCGTCGTCTTGCGTGGATCACCGTCGTCGTCGTTGTCGTCGTCGTCGTCGTCGTCTCCGTCGTGTCCTCGTCGTCTCCGTCTCCGTTGTCCCTCGTCGCCTTCGTCGTTCCCCGTCTCCTTGAGCGCGCGAGCCAAAGCGACATTGAGCAACGTCGTAGTTGAGTCGTGGCGAAGCCCCTCCGTACCCTCCCCGCCGGGGGGGGTTGGGGGGTGGGTGGGGGGGTCGCCGGGGGGGCTCCCCGGAGGGGGTCGCCACCCAGATACGCATCCTCCCCGGGGGGTCCCGGAGCTCAGAAAAGCTTCAAGACGAGCCAAGAGCGACAGAAGACACCCCCAAAAGGGTACAAGAGGGCCTCGACTCGACGAACGATTGCCCCAAGACGCCCAAGACGGCCCGAAGACGGCCCAAGAGGCCCTCAAGACGCTCCAAGAGAGCCCCAAGAGCACACCCAAGAGGGCCCCAGGCGCCAAAATCGTCAATTTTACATCAGTTTTTGAAGGATTTTGGCCTTCTCGCCTTTTCGGCTTTCCGACACTCCAAGACGGCCCAAGAGGCCCCCAAGAGGCCCCCAAGAGCGCCCCAAGAGGCCTACAAGAGGGCCCCAAGACGGCCCAAGAAGGCCCCAGGACAGCCTAAGAGGCGCCCAAGACGGCCCAATAGGGCCCCAAGACGGGCCCAAGAAACGGCCAAGAGGGGGACGAGGAACCGAGAATTCGAGACTTCCGCCCTAAGAGGCCCCCGGGAAGCCCCAAGAGGCCCCCAAAAGGCCCCAAGAGGCCCCCGAGCGGCGCCAAGACGCCCCCAAGATGCGCCGAAGACGGCCTCCGGAAGCCCCAAGAGGCCCAAAAGAGGCCCCAAGAGGCCCCACAACGGCCCCCAAGAGGCTTCAAGTTGCCTTCCAGACGCCCCCGAGAGGTCAACCACGAGATCCCAACCAACATCCATAAGGCCTCCTCCTCCTCCCCCTTCACCCTTCCTCCTCCTACTCCCTTCCGCCTCCTCCTCCTCCTCCTCCTCCTCCTCCTGCCCCCCCCCTCGTGTTGTCTTTCGTCATCTTCAGGGTCGGCGGCAACGGCCGTAAGGCCTTCGCAATCATCGAGCTGGACTCGGCGATACATCGCCGATAGATCTGCGATGAGCCTCCGATGACAAATCCGAAAGCTCATGGACGGGGCGGGCTATGTGGGCCCTGTCGGCGATGAGTTGGCGATCGGGGGTCGATAACCACCCCGAGCCGAGATCCCTTTAACGTTGCCCAAGATCGCTGGAGGTGTCACCCCTTGTGGTGGTGGTGGTGGTGGTGGTGGTTACGGGGACAGCAAGCGACCACAATCACATCGAGGACTCACTCTGGGGGATTTTTTGCGCACGCCAACGATTGTCGAAGCACAGAAACCAGCTTCGTACTGGTAGTGATCGATGTGGTGTCCCAGGACGGCCAAACCAACCACAACCGCAACCAAAGTGCTCATGTCGGGGCAGGTGGGTTCTCCCCCGAGGGGCCCCTCCCGAAAAAGACTTCCATTCAGCTGTGGCTGTGCTTCTCTCTTCTGCCCCGAGGCCGTGTCGCCTCTCCTTCCTCCCACAGGGTGGCGGCTCCACTATGTGCCGCAGCGCCAGCAGGGAGCTGGAGATGAAGTCCGCGGTCTCCGCGCGCAGGGCCCACTCGCCTGGCCGCCGGCGCCGCCGACCCGGCGGGGTGGCCGACCACCGGCACGGCCGCCGCCGCCGCCGCCGATGTCGTCCACCCCGCGGTCGTCGCCGCCATCGCCACCGCCGTTGTTGTCGTCGTCACCGTCCCCGTCGTCGTCGTCGTCGTCGTCGTCGTCGTCGTCGTCGTCGTCGTCGGTCTCGTCGTTGCCGTCGTCGTCAGTGTCGTCGTCGTCGTCGTGCGCGTCGCCGTCGTCGTCGTCGGAGGCGGGGGGAGGGGCAGGGCGGAAGAGGGAGGGAGGCGGGAGAGGGAGGAGGCTCCAGGAGAGAAGGGAGGAGTCAGGAGGTCGCCCCTGGCCGAAGGCAGAGCATGGAGGGCCTCCGCTGAGAAGGGGCGGTGGGGTGACGTGGAAGCCACCGCGCGACACATGAGGCGGGGGGGCAGAAGCAGGAGGAAGGACAGAGGAGGGATGGCGCTGTGGCGGGCCCCTCTGGCCGACGGCAGTCCCGAGGCGTCCGCCGAGGGGGGGTAGAGGGATCGCACGAGAGCGACCTTGCAGCACTGTAGGGGGGGAACACCCCTCTTGTCAGAGGCGCCAGAGGCACAGTCCCGAGGGGGCCGACTGCGAAGGGGTGGATGAGGGGTCGTACAGGGCTGCCCTGCAGCATCGCAAGGAAGAGGTGGGAGAAAGGCGCATGAGGGAGGCGGGAGGGATGCGCGTAGGAGGATGAAGGATACGGAGGAGAGTGGGAAGTGGGGGCGAGGGAGGTATGAGGAGGCAGCGTATGAGGAAGAGGAGGCCCTTCCGTTCGAAGACACAGTCCCTACGCGTCCTTTGGGACGGGCCCCCCTCATACTCTGCAACGGCGATGTGCGACGGCTTCACATATTCCTTCCGTCCTGCTGCTGATGCTGCCGCCGCGATTGCTGTCGTGTCTTCATCCTCTTCCTGCTCGTGCTACATCTTCTCATCCTGCTCACGCTCATCGTCTCCTCATCTGCCGCATCACCCCTTTCTATCCTGTCCCCCATGGTTCCAACTCGTACAGTCGGACCTAGGCCAGAAGAACATTCTCCAAGAACATGAGACCCTCCATCGGCCAAAACAAACAGATCACCAAAGGGTACCCTCACCTCGATGCACAATAATATCCAACAAACACGAAAATGACTAGGGTACCCTTCCCCGAAACGTTCCCAACCTTATACCGTGGTCCCACTGTATTGCTCTGCCGCTTGAGTCCCCCACTCATGCCTCCTCATCCTTCCGCCGCTTTCCTCCTCCGTCCTCACACCTCGTCGCCTCCTCCACCTTCCTGCCCCGCTTCTTCTTCCTCCTCCTCCTCCTCCTCCTCCTCCTCCTTCTCCTCCCTTTCTTGACTGACCCCTGGCCTCCTCCCTCGGCCTCCTTCACCTCCTCGATTTTCTTCCTGACCTCCTCGACATGATCCTCGACCTTGATCGACATGATCCTCGACCTCTCTCGACCTCCTCGACATGATTCTCGACCTCCTCGACCTTCTTCCTGACTTCCTCGACGTGATCCTCGCTCTCCTCGACGTGATCCTCGCTCTCCTCGACCTTCTCCTCGACCTCCTCAAGTTGATGTTCCACCTCCTCCTCCTCGACCTCATCCCCCCCCCCGCGCGGGTATCTGCAGCTCGCCGTCCACCATCATGGACCGGAAGCCGCCCGCCGTCAGGGGCCTCAACACGCCGTCGACGTCCAGGAATATCACCTCGGCGCAGGGGGGGTCTTTCCTCCTCCTCTTCCTCCTTCTCCTCTCCTCCTCCTCCTCCTTCTATTAACCACTCCTCCTCCTCTTCCTCCTCCTCATCCTCCTCTCCCTCTTCCTCCACCTCGTTTTCCTTTTACTCCTACTCCTCCTCATCCTCATCCTAATCCTCATCTTCCTCCTTCACCTCCTCATCCTCCTCATCCTCATATTCGTCCTCCTCCTCCTCATCATCCGCATCACCTTCAACATCACCATCACCATCACCACCACCATCACCATCATCATCATCATCATCATATTCATCATCAGCATCAGCATTCACAACATCATCATCATCACCATCATCATCATCATCATGATCCCCCTCCTCGACGTTTTCTGTTCGGATGAAAATCTCCCGGAGATAGGAGGAGGGAGGAGGAGGGGGGGAAGAGGTCCTATATGTGATATGGAAGATAATCGCTGGATATATTTGACTCGCGCGGCGAGGGGCGTAGCTCTAAGGCCAAGAGCCCTAGTTCGAAATAAAAATGGCAGCGGCGAGCAAGGAATGAAACCACAGGCCCCTCGAGGTTTCTGGGGGAAACCCTCTCGGGCCTCTTACATTCCTGGGGAGTGAGCTTGATTCACACTCCTCCTAGTCGCCGTCGGCGCAGACCCTCTGTCGGGCGCCTGAGCGGGGACTATAACAAGTCACTCGCAAAAGCTTCATTACAAACGGAACAGATTATCTTGATAATCTATCTCAAGCAAACGGCTCGCACGGCATGCTAGCAGGCTGCCCTCTGGGGCCATTTGACGGGTGCTGCTTCACGAACCTGCTGAAATATAGATTCTCGGCGCAACGGGCACTCGGCTAGGATCTTACTACTTAGTAACAAGATGAAGCCCTTGGAAGCAGAGCAATCTGGCTGGTGATCGTCATCACCATAAAACAGAGCACACACAGAGGCTGATCAGGCCAGGCGCTATGAAACATACAGGCTGCGAAATAAAGCAGCGTCCGGGTGGTGGCGAAAACACACTGAATGCGGACTAACGTGAGCGGCTGGCAAGCAGCATCTGGGCGGCGGCGAAAGCAAACGAAATGCGGATAACCGTAAGCGGCTGCTGGCAGCACCGTCCAGGAAGCGGCAGAGAAAACTGAACGGGGATAAACGTGAGCGGCTGCTGGCAGCAGCGTCCAAATAGCGGCAAAACAAACTGAATGCGGCGAACTCATTCACGTGGACTTCTTAGTCCCCTTCTCCGGCGTCGTTCGGCTCGGCGCGTCGGATCCCATCATCTGAGCCCATCGATTCTGGAGCTCATGCTTCAGCGAGTGGTGCATGCGCGAGAAATCGGGCTGATGCACTCTGTGGTTCCGGCGAAGCCACGACGAGTAGCGCCTGCATGTCCTGCAGGTCGCATAGACGCTGTGCGGGTTATATCCTACGCGAATGTTGCGCCCTGCCACGGCACACTCGTTGATCTCCATCGGCGAGACCGCCGGCGTGGAGTTATTCCAGGACACGATGCTTGCCGATGATGAGCTGGATATCGTCATGGGCGTGCTCGGTGACGATGATGGGGCGAAGCTGTCCTGCGGCGATGCCGGCGCGGGAGCAGTTGAAGGCCTCGGAGCCGGACCTGCGTTCTCTGTCGATGAGCTGCTCTGGGCCGCAACAGCAGCAACGATCTCCTGGGTATCGGGCATGAAGATGTCTCTGTCGGCGTCCTCATCCAATGGAATCGCGGGCTGCACGTGGTTCCTCCTCCCGAGACGTCTCCCGCCCCAGCCTGGGTGGCGATCGCCCTCGGCCTTGCCCTCCTGCGGCGATGGCTCCAGGGTGTTCTGAGCCATCGTGTGCCACATAACGGCAAAGATGCTGAATCCCACCATCATTCCCACGAACATCGAGAAGCACGTCAGGTAGCACGCGTACCAGTAGTAGTTCATGGCGAATGGCTGTGGGGGCGAAGGAGTCGGCTGACCCTTGACCTTGCCGATGCACGTGGCAAGCACGGAGGCGATCATGGCGGCGTTGGGCTGCCTGGTGCCGAAGTTGTGCTTCTTGGCGCCGAAGAAGGAGAGCAGCAAACTGGTCTCCATTACCTTGGTGAGCGAGTCGGCAACCATGCTCCAGGTAGGAACCCAGGTCAAGCGCAGCTCGCTGTTGGGATGCACGGACTCCTTGATCATGGAGGCGACGATGCGGAAACGCTTGTCGGAAGACTGGCCCACGTCGGACTGGATGTGGATAGCGAGATCCTCGCTGTCGCTGTAAACCTCCCCAGGGCGCTTCAAGCTGAGATCGTCGATCTCCTTGAGCGGCGCCTTGGGGTTGTAGGCTTCGGTGAGCAGCTGGCGAAACCATGTGTTGATTTCGGCCCCCTCGAGGGTGGCGTAACCCTCCGCGGCCAGCGTGGACTTCGCGGACCTCTTGACGGGACCCGAATGCCAGGCAACTGGTAAGCATAGATCGTATCGGCCTCCGACTACATCGCGAGGTCGGTGGGTAAGGCCCATGGCCATGCCCCACTGGCTCTTAACACCGTCGATGTTGGCGAACGCGGCGTCGCTGAAGCAAACGGTGGTGCAGGTGTTCAGGTTGATGAGATTGCGCTTCAGCATGATGGCAAAGCCGGGGAAGCCGTGAACGTAGTTGACCGTCCTGTTGAGCGTCTTGGCGTCGGCAACGGTAGCGGCGTTCGTGCGCCTGGCAGCCATGCTGACCGGGCAGGCGATGTCGACTCGCGTCTGAACAGCGAGCCAAAGTAGTTGACCCAGGGTGTGTCGATAGCTGGATACCTCCTCCATGGACAGCTTGTCGTCTGGGGCGCGGCCCTTCGCGAAGGAAATCTCGACAGGGTCGACCTGCTTGGCAGCCGTGGCCTGCGTGACGCGAAACTCTTCGTCAGACTTTGAGATCGTACGTCCGCAATATTTGATAATGCCTTCAACCTTCTTGAGATGCAGCTTCCTCCCAAGGCTGTCAATGGTGCGCTTCCACTCTGTTGAGTCCTTGAGCTGAGCAATCAAGAAGTCGTCCACATGGGAATGTACGACGGCGGCCAGGCCCTTGGAGTCGTAGAAATAGTAAAGACCCTTCTCGAGCTTGCTCTCGATTAAACCGTGGTCCTTGCACACCTTCTGGGCGAAGAGATACCACTGCCGTCCTGCGTCACGGTTGCCATACATAGCACCGGTCGCCATAACGATTTCACCAGTCGAAGTACCCGGTGGGGGGCTCTTCGCAGGCATGCGTAGCAGTAAGAGCCTCTCGATGTTGCCAGACTGGAGGTAGGCCGTCATGGCATCATACGAGGTGAGGTCCCGCCCACATTGTGCAGCAGCGGCAAGCGTAAGGTAAAGGGCGTCTCCAGATCCTGTAGGTGCATCAGTGCGGATCTGTGACTTGCCCCCCTGGCACCCTTGAACTACGAGGCGGGCCTTCATGAGGTTGGGCCCCTTGCTGGTGAGCACCCATCGCGTGCCCACCGGGCGAATGCCAGCTTCGGCGGCAGCTTCTTGTAAGCCCCGAACTCTGTCCACTTGGGAGCTTCTTCTCCTTGGTGGACAAGTTGTCGTACTTCAGCTCCTTGGCGGCCGCCTTCCCAGTAAGGAAGACTTCGCGTAATGAGGGCGCAAAATGCATATCGTCTGCGTTGGCCTTGAAGTAGTTGTCCAGGTAGTAATATGTCTCGTTGGTGTCGCGGGGTTTCTTGAAGCACTTCGGTAGGTCGTCCAGCAGCTCCTTTCTCGTGGCGGCTCGAACTCGAAGATCATCACGTTCGTGTCGGTCGCGTCCAAGCGCCTGAGGGGCGTCTTCTTGTTGATCACGTCGTTGTGCCTTGGCTCCTCGTTGGTCTTCATGCTTTCGGCGGCGACGTAGTTCGACCTCCTCCTTGACTTGACTCTCCATCTTCTCGGCTATCTCGTTGATGAACTCGGCGACCGAGCTAATGGTCTCGACTTCTCCATCGTCATCAACTGGCCCTTCTTGTTGAGGTTCTGGTGGATCTTGAGTCTGTCGATCGTGGTCGTCTTCTGCTGCTGGAGTTGGTTCCGGATGTTCGGGCTGTTCGGGTTGAGGTGGTGACGGCGGATGTGGCCCTGGTTGGTCGGCAGGTTGGTCAGCAGGGCCGGAGTCGAGCGCAGCTGCGGCCGCAGCGGCAGCAGGTAGTAGATGGTTTCCTCCCCAAGGTCCTGGCGCCGAACCGCTTCCACTGGCTCCTCCAGTAGGAACAAAGTCGTCGTCACCTTGTTTACGACTGAGCCATTCGAGAAAGGCATGTTGGCGTCGATTAGCTGGCGTATCTGCAATGTTGCCGAAACTTGGTGGAACTGGCATAGGTGGAATTGGCGGGGAGTTCGGTGCGGCAGGTGGCGCTGGCACAGCATCTGCACGCGGTCGCTTTTGGGGCGCGGGGCCGGTGAGGTCCATGAACACGTCCTCGTGGGTGGAGTCGTCCGCTGGCTTGCGCGGCGGTGGAGGCGGCGTGCCTCCTGGTCCTCCTCCACTTCGTCCGTGATCGTGAAGGGGGCGCCCGTCGGGAGCATCTCCTGGAGGGTGTCCAGCTGGTGGAGGTGGCTGGCCGTTCATGGCATTTAGGACTTGACCCCATGGGACGAGTTCGGAAGCTGCGGCATGTCGCAGGTGTCCACGGTTGACCTTCACCGTGGTAGATCGGTGGCTGACCCACACGCTGGATGTGCCCTCGAAACCGATGATGACGCCTGGCCCGTGCCACTGGAGAGCCCATTCGCGCTTGGGCTTGCCGTTCCCCCGCCAGTAGTACACCTGGTCACCAGTCTGATAGACGTCTTGCGCATGCTGTGCGCCGTCCGCCCTTGACCGGGCTAACAGCGCTCTCGATAGAGACCGGTTGAAGCGCAGGTGCTGGATGGAGGTCTGGGCGGCCTTCATGGTGGCTACCCTCTCGGATAAAGGCTTGTCGGACACGATGCGCTCATGTAGCGATAGGCGGCCAGCTTTGTCCAATAGGCAGTTTGGCAA